ATCGGTACCAAAAACAAGATGAAAGATTCTCTATCCGCTTATAGGAGAACTCAGGCCGTGCCAGCGGCTTGTTGTCACGCCTTCCCTGTTTTCAATTGTTATCACCAGCCGTGGGTGGGCAGGCGTAAGTTTAAATACAATGCGGTCCACAAGTTCCCGAACACCGCGCTAACTTAGCGCGTTTTTCCAAGACGCGTTTTTCGTATCCTTTCCACTTTCTACCACTACACAACCATGGAACGGTCTTTTGGAACCGAAATCAGTGGAAATCTCTTGCCAGCAATATCGCCCCTCGTGGCGATATGGTGGCCCGGGACATCGCATGACTCGATAATTATCACGCCAAACGGACTGTTGGCCAGAGACCTGCTTAGCGCCAATCTGAGCGTCTCAGTCAGCGAGCACCCGCGTAGCCACTGATGACTTTCCTCTCTTGTCCAATTTACCCAATCCTCTAGCCTATCACAGAACCAACCTCGCCGTATTAGAGACTTCTTTAAGCGCCTAGAGCGATACTAACAGCGCCAGTAACAGCTACCAGCCAAGATTGACGAGGATTATCAGCCAGAGAGTTATGTTGCTTGCAACGGAATCGGGAAGTGTGATTGGAGACGGAGAAGGAGCGGCTCTTTTCCTCTTTACGCATAAAGCTAAAGGTTTGATGGGTTTCCTTATCGGCCTTCCGGTGATAGACTGTTGAGTTCCCTCTGGTATCTGTGTCCAGGCAGTTCGGAGATATTCGAGGACCTATACCATCTTAGTTCGTGTAGCAAAGATTTATGGTGGCAAAGAAAGCCTCACGTCGGGATCTTCTAAAACCCTATCAACATGGCGTGACCCATGTTTCTCTGCATTTTTGCAGGCATTTGAAAATTTTTGAAGAATAACTTTGCTCTCGGCGAGACCCATGTTCGAGTTATGAGAGAGCCAAAATGCTCCGTCTGGGCCGGTTCCCTCATTTGAGAGATACTCATGTGGCTAGGTTGGTAACACCTGTTGCCGCGTTGACTGGGCGAATTCTATTAGTGTATTGATGAACGAGGGGCCAAATGTCGTAAACGGACCGCCTCGCCCAATCATTCCAGGCTGTTGGTCTCAGTGCGACGGTCGAAGAGCTCGGCGTCCCCACTTTGCTGCCAGCGAACCCAGTGATGCCAATCAAAATACAGAACGATCGATCCTGCTTTAAGCCAGACGCGGGCAAGGCAGAACTGGACGCGCCGTGCTGTTCACCAATGAGCAAGCTGAGAAGGCAATATGAAAGAGGGTCCTTGAGCCATCAGTCACATCCAATGATATGTAATTATTGCTTATAGAAGGCCTGTGCGCGCACTACACTGGCCCGAAAGGAGCCTCACCTGCAGCTCGGCCTCCATTATAAAACCCTAATAGCGCACTTAATATTGATCGAGCTTTAGCCATAGGCTAATAACGGCTTAGTTTGGTGGTTTCGATAAGGGACTCAGTTCTCCTTGTTGGAAAACAGGGGATTTGTTGAGATAGCTTGGTGGTGCGGCGCGTTATACTAGCGTGGTGCACGCCTACGCACACCACCACCAGTAGTTTAGATAGCACCTCTCATCAGATACAATCTTACTATCCCTTTCTCCTCTCTTTTGGTCAGTGCTACGTTTTCCGTAGCTCCCTGATAGGTTTTCATGTTTAATGTATTTATAGACAGATATTTACAGGAAGCCTCCTTCACGCAGAGCGACTCACTGGTCCAGAGATATGATCAACCTCAACCAACAAATTCGGAGTGGTGGGTCTCGGAACCAATGGCCCTCAAACAGGGTGATCAGCAAGGGCCGGTCCGGGTTAAAGATTGCTCGCGATGGATAGATCACGCTATGGTGTATGATGGAAGACATGCGAGGAGGGAAGGCTAGATTTTGGTTAGTGAGATCGCCCTCTGGCCAGACAGTAATGGTTAGGGCCATTTGCGAGGCACGGAAGGTTTAGCCGAGTGGCTACGTCGGCGGTTTAGGGACGTGGAGGGGCGATTTCCTCGACGAATCAGAAAGACATGAAAAGAAAATATACAACAGCAAGAATTCGCTAGTGGTCACCCATCCAACTACTATCCTGCCGGCGTGTGGTTTGAGTACGGCTAATAGGAGCCTGGGGCGCCTTTCTGCCTCTGAATGTCGTCGGTCGCACGACAAGGGGTGCTTAGCGTGGGTGTACTTTGAGAAGGGTGCGGATCCCTCGCAAGAAAGAGCGAGTCTCACCCCCTCTCTCACTTCCGGCGCACTGGCCCCTCACTCAATGCACGAGCAGCGAACAACTGGACGATATTAATCGCTCTCGCACTTTAGGCCTCCAATACTGACTCGTCTAAGCTGGTTTCGCTAATCAACGTCTATGTTAGTTGAGGGGTCGAATCAGAAGTAGTAGGTACTAGGTACCTACTTTATCTACGTAGTGTCAGATGTAGTGTCTCCCGCCTAGATGTTTGCCTCGTGTACGACTCGCTTTCGTGGAGGGTTCCCTTTGCGTAGAAAGCTAGGAGTTCCTATATTACATTCCCTAATCTGTTGTTTTCTTCATAGTTTGTAATTTGACCGCTTACCGTAATCTATAGCATAGACATAACCCCCTCCTCCCTCAGCAATCCCACCTTCATACTAATATATGTGACGCGGTGCCGACAAGTTACTGTGAGTTAACATGTCCATGGGTTATACTTGCCTCGCTCTAACTGCGAATCCGAAGACTTATCTCTCACTTGTACCCTTATTTCGCAAAGCCTTACTACGGGTTAGATTCTATCGAGGGTCTTACAGGATGTACCAGAAGTGCGCGCCAAGTAGGTTAATCACTAAGTATTACCACCGAGTGCATCCTCTACTTATAGGCAGGTTAGGTTGTTTTTAAATTGAACTGTGCAGTGCACGTGGTTTGCCGTTTCCTACGTCGCGCCGCATAGAAGTCGTGGTTTATCGTGCGATGTCTCGGCGCGTACGATGCTCCCCGTCGTAGAATGGCGTCTATCTCGTAGATCGTGCCGTCGTGGGGCCGTTTAGTCCTTGCGGTGTGTTTTGCCCCACGATGATGCCCATCTCACGACGCCAGGGTTCTGTTGAGATGTTTCATGGTCCTCCAACCGGGTGTCCTGCTCATCACGTATCTTTTGGCCCTAGTAGAGGCACCATGGTTTCGGTCAATTTTTCTCGCACGTGACCTACGGGCGGTCGTGGCTGCGGAATAGTTGGCTTTTTTGGCCCATTAATCCACACGCATCAGGGGCTGATTTACAATCATAGTGATCGAGTGTTACGTGCCAAAAAGTTCGAAATCAACTTGTGCATTCAACGAAGGTCGAAAAGCCTGAGGGAGGAAAGGAAAGAGAAATCTAATCTGCAAAAGGTATTGAGGTAAGTGAGATCACCGGAACATGCCTTCACCCCAACTTCTCTTACCACGCAGTCGCGTGGAGTCGTGTGGTTACGGTATCTCCCTTCGGTATCTCCCTTCCGATACTGATTTCTTCTGCAGAAGAAATCCAAGTCCGCAATCCAAGTCCGCTAACTCGTAACATCGAGCACAGATTACTATTTAAAAATACGTACGAACAGACCTTTCGTCCAGTCGGTGTTTCCTGTATTATAATAGCTATAGATTCTGTGTAGATAAGACCTCGAACATATTGGCTAGATTTTATTTTCCGTCGTATCTATTTGGGGTTGTGGAATTGTGAAGGGCTGTAGCAGAATTGATTCAATTGTACTAGGCCAACAGGCTGTTTTCAACAATCCTAAGGAAGAAAAGAAGAAAGGATAGGAGTCGGTCGCGGTCCTTAACAGCGTCGATCCTATCTCCGGTAGGACCCCGCTCGGACCCCTTCTACCGAGGCGGTATCCGGAAGGCCACAGCATATGGTCAACCACCGGGCTCTGGCCCGTCACAGGAATAACCATAAAGCTCGGACTAAGAGTTCGTCTTCGGAGAATATAAATATACGCTAAGTTTCGCTGAACAACACACAATGTAGCCGGGGCTGATCCTGGACCAAAGATCATTGTTGTGAACATGACCACGCAGGACAGCATGAGAGGGAGGACAGGATATGACCACGCCTACCACGCGTGCCACACGCGCACTACCACCTCAAAACTTTGGACGTTACTGTAGCTTCTTCTTCCTTCTCTTTCTCCCCTCCAGCTCTTGAGACTCTCGATATCACGCAGTCAAGTTTGAATAAAGTTTATGAGTCCTTCTAAAGCTCAATCTGGCTTATAACAATCATCTCACTCCACTCGCCAGGATACTAAAACTCATCGCATACCTGGCGCAAAGCTACGATCACAGCAGCTCTACGGCTCGGTAAAAATGTACCCATTAAGAAGAATTGCGCAGTTCTGATGCTTTGCCATCGAAGACAAAGCGATCCCAATGAACTAGTCCAAGACCAGTATCGAAACATTTACTGATGTTGCACGTCATCAACTAGCAATTCAATTTGTCAAGCACCCTAAGTACCGCCCGTACCCGTTTAAGGAAGGGAATCTTTGCACAAAGTGAGATAAATCACATTTTCGTCACAAATAACCAAGTGAGCTTTGTTACTGAGTTGCGTGCCAAAAAGAATTTAATCGATGTAACGAAGCTAAGAGAAAAGAGGTGTTAGGTTTGTAAGCGTTGTTTTGACCCGTCTGCAGCCTTCCGAACTAGTCTTCTGTCCGCTCAAGTCACTCCATTAGGATATATCCAACGCCAACGGGGTTCGGTTCACAAAAATTGAAGTCGAAAAATTTCGGAACTAGGACTTGAGTTTCACTAAGAAACTGTAGGGTTGAAACCTCGCTGCGCAGAATGTAATCTCGTAGCTCTGCTGGTGGCGAAGTCGCGTTAGACCTTCGAATGCGCGCCAGCCAATTGATGCCATCATCGAAAGATATCACGATATGGTAATTCATTCCTCCCATGACTGAGCTTCGCGTTGATCTGTCATATCTAAGGTCTTGAAAAATGGAACAAGTAAGGCCTCCCCGAAGAGCTCATGCTCGAGAAATGAGCGCAGGAATGTTGATTTTATCAACAAGTGTGGTGATCTCATCCTGTTCGGCTTTCCTAGCGGCGGGGTCGTATTCAGCCTCTTCCTATTCACAAGAATCAGCAAGGCCTATAATACCGTTGTCTTGGACTCACCTCCCATCTTGGACAGGTGTGGTAATTTGGTTCTAGATGTTTCGCACAAAGATGACGATTGCACAGAGTACATTCCCCGTATATGCGAACAGAGGGTTTATTGCAATTTTGAATATCATATAGCGACATCATCATTTACCTTGTATCTCACAAGACCACAGATTAGAAAACTCGGGCGGGTCTGCTGTTTTTGTGATGAGTTATTATGGTATGGCTTGCCTGAATTTGAGTCTATTGAGGACAACCTGATTCTTAAGCACACCGCTAATTTGATACGTAGCGACTGCGCAGACCTCCAAGAGCTCTTACCTAGAGCGCTGTCACCCAAATTCAAGCCCTTTACTTCTTCTTTATTATAGTGAAAAGTCTCCGTTAGTCCAAGTATTGCATACGGAGCAGCTTATGTAGCACTTAGCTAGAAGCTTTGATAGGCTACACCCCTCATTTTTGTGATAATCACACGAGAAACCATAAGCAGACGATACATTATAAGTTGCAACTAACACCTGACTCTGGTCACCGAAAGGTTAAAATGAGCTTGACTTCCGCAGGTTGTTCATATTACCACGAATTACTTCTTCACAATCCCTATTCACTATGTCGATCAACTGTTGATTCTTTTTGTATCCCTTTCGGTTGAAATCCACAAGAATGCTAAGCCCTGCTATCAAGTGCGTGAAAGAAGGCTGCACGAGCTAGGCAGAGAGTGGGTCGAGATATTGTGCCGCCCATAGTATGTATGATGTCTGTAATGAGCTAGCTCTATCGGTACCAATTAATATTCTGCGACAGAATAAGAATCGATGGATGAAACTTGGGAAGCAGTCTGAGGCCCTCCGCGAAGCTTTTTTTAAAATCTTTGCTGCCTCTCTACTTTTACTATCATTTATCTTTCGTATACCTACGTCAACAACTATCTTCCTGCTACTGTGAACCTTGAATGAGTTAGTGATCATACCACATGTATTCTTTCAAAAATCGTTCATTGTCAATCATCCCTGTTATATATACACTTACAGTATATTCTGCCGTACTGGAATACCAAGAACTAGATCTCATTAATTGGACCCCCGCATTTTCATCAGTCGACAGTCTACGCGTCATTGTCAAACGAGCCCCGCTCTGTCTTCATTAGTAAATTTAAATGTCCCCGCAATACTTATGTTGGGGCGAAGAGTATATTTTGTCCGGGTTTCTATCTTAACTCTCTTCCTCGTGCGAGATCAAGTGCCAGTGGACGCGATATCAATCATGTCTGAACTCAAGGATGTCCTGCAAGACCTACTTCTACGAGGCCGATGCTCTGACAAGGAGATCATTTGTCAAGGAATTACTTTCAGAGTTCACCAAGCTATTGTGTGCACTCAGCCAAGTTATTCCTGTAGCGCGATGTGCGATGGCTTCAGGGTATTTTTTATTTGGAAATGTAGGATATCTTTGGTCGCCTACTTTATTCTTAGGAATCCATTGTCCAAGCTATCAATATTGAAGACGACATCCCAGAGACCATGGAGCGAGTTCTATCTTTTCTCTATCTCAGGGAGTATAATGAGAACGGGCACATTCTTCAATATCATCAACCGATATCGACGCTTACCATCTGTGATCATGACCCTAGTTCATCTCTTTCGGAAAATAAGTCAGAAATCTCAGAGCCAGCCAATCAAGCTGCTTTTAACGATATTGAAATGTTTCATCGCTGCTGATAAGTATGCGATCCTTCCTTTGAAATCTCTGGCTACCCTAAAGCTCTCCCAATGGGCAGACAAAAACTGGTGCTGTCCTATGTTTAACGAAATCGTGCAAAAGATCATGACGTCAGTACCACAACATGAGTCGGGAAGTGATTGCCGACATCATGTCCAGGCATGTCTTCGACCTTATCCAAGACCCAGAGATAGTTCGCATCTTAGATTCTTTCGGATGTCTTGGGTTCCTCGTTAAAATGAAATTAATTAGCAACGAGATGGTGAGATGGCCTCACGAATATGTTTTGCCGTCGGTTACTAGGATCAACTCTTCTCGGCGTCGTCGGTCATGTGCGAAATCTTTCAATGTAAATTTAGTAAGTGGAGAATGTGGAGATCGAATTTTCCGTTGCGCTTTTTGGAATACGCGATATTGAAGCGCCCTATTTCAGTCCTTAGGTTTCGTCACGCACGAAGGATCTTGTCCCTACCACATAGCTCTGAAATGGAGAAAGGAGACCAGATTACCACTCATACGCTGCGGTTCCCATAGCTTCTAATACCATAATTCGTAGTACTAAATTATGTAAATTATAGGAAGGCAGACGACTTCTTTGGGAATGGAATCTGCCAGCATCGCTACTATAATTTCTCTTCCAGCTTCAGGCACATTAATTATTATGCCGGAATGTACAAGGTTTCGATGCTGGCAAATATGGCTGATTACAGGAATAAATAGCGCGATACTGAAGACGAGGCTCACGGTCCTGGTGCGGATAAATAGTAACAGCTTCTGCACTGTCCAAATGTACTCAATCATAATCAGGTAATTGGTAAGATTGTACCTTTCAATGGCTGTGATAATGCAAGGACATATTACAACATGTCGCAACTTCTGGAGACTTTAGCGATGATGGTACGTTAGGTTAACGCGTGCAGGACAACTCACACCTACATCCGGCATTCCCCTCTTTTGCCGCCCAAAAATCTAAGAAGCCATGGCACACACTCCGCTGCTTCGAAGATTTCCTTAAATTAACCCGGGTTTTCCTTGACAGCACTTATCACTCACCGCCGTTTCCGTTGTATGACAATAGTAGAAAAATGCTTGTTAATTAAGCGACACGACATAGCACACTCCGGCACCCAAAAGCATGCTTTATCTAGGAGGGGTTGGCCTTCATTACATTTTCCAGAATTTTCATCTTGCTATACACAAACTAAGCTTATGTCACCAAGGACTAAAGAATGGCTCACGAAGTAACCAACATAATGTCCCTACAACTTCTTTTTGATGATTTGGATCACCTTGAAAACCAGCAGAAAGGAAAGCAGGTGGCTGGAAAACAAACTGACTTGGAGTTCGCCATCCGACTCATGAAAGAGGACATTTCTGCCGCCCGAACCTCTATTCAGGATGGGATTCTAGCTCTAAGCACGAGTACTGCCGTTGCTACAGATCAAAATGTGCTCGCCTCAATCAGGGAAGACGAAAACCTTGCGGAACAAGATCGCCGATATGCTCTCGCATTAAGCAACGGGAATCATCACGGATTTGAAAAATCAACGTCACCTGAATCGAGATTCCTATCGAGATTCCTAGATACAAACGATGACGCCGTGTCTTTTGTCATGAGCGATCTAATGAGTCGCATTGCTATCAGCGAAGACGCATCTAATGGTGAAAGCTCATTGCGCCCCACTCGGATGCACAGTCGGACAAAGAAATGTGCCTCGTGTCTGGAAGAACTTGATGACTCTGTTTTTGAAAGCTCTTGTGGTCATGAGTTCTGTCTTGACTGTGTCAGGCAAATGTTCCTTGGGGCAATCAAAGATGAGGAATTGTATCCTCCGCGTTGCTGCGGAGTGGTCATGGCGCCTGGTATTGCCTTAAGGGTACTGCAATACGGGGAGCTGAGTGCTTTTAGTGAGAGGGCCATCGAATGGACTGCCAAAGACCGATTGTACTGCGCGGACGTGACCTGCTCGAAATTTATTCCCCCGTTTGCGATCAAAGATGAGATAGGTATTTGCCCGAGCTGTGGCCGAAGCACTCATTTGACTTGTCGTTCTTTTGTTCATCCTGGAGTTGACTGTCCGATGGACATTGCACTCAATGATGTTTTGCAAATAGCGGAAGATGAGAACTGGAAGCGGTGCTTTCATTGCCGAAATATGGTAGAGCTTCAACATGGTTGCAACCATATCACTTGCCGGTCAGTAATCATCTAGTCTAATCTAGGGTGTGCACTGTTATTTAAATGAATACTTACTCCTAATAGCTGTGGACGCGAGTTCTGCTACATTTGTGGTCTATTGTGGAAAACATGCAATTGTCCTCTCTGGTACGAGGAAAGACTCACGAATATGGCAAATCAGGCCGTAGATGAGGAGCTGCCCCCAGATGCCAATGCTGGACAACGTCAAGATGTTTTTGATCGTATAGTTGAAGGTCTCCGACAACATGAAGAGGTCGGCTGTGATCATCACAGGAACTCTCAGTGGGCTTGGCGCAATTATGGCAGCTTACAGTGCGAGTTTTGCAACCATGTGTTGCCCGAGTACATTTTTATGTGCAAGAATTGCCGGATAAGGGTTTGTAACCGCTGCCGGAGGCACAGAATGAGGTAGCTTAGGAAGGGCCTAGAGTAATACTGAAAATTGTTCATGTTTTTATTCTTATTCACTCTACATATCAATCAAGGTAGCACTGGTGCAAAGAAAGACAGTGATTTGAATACCGATACTTCGAGAGCCATCGGCCCGCGTTCGGATTCTTGGACAAGTGCCATCACTACTCATCCACTTAAAGTACAATGAATGGCTTTGCAATATAATATCCTTCAAGCCCTTCTCAAAATCAAGATCGTTTGTAATGGCTGGAATCGGATAATGGTAGCTCTGACCAGTCAGGATACCCCGAAACCCAGCGGCATCTGATGATTCGTATCTGACCCGTCTTTCGCATGCGAACACCCACACATACATCTGCATTGCATATATCGCTTCACTCATATGCCTCTTTTATCATATTTGTTCGGAGACGACATTGCTTCTGGCGTATCGACCTTTTGGTGGGACCGCTGCCCTCCTTCGTATCTGCAATGTGCCGGTATGCCTTCGATGCCGCATGCACCGATCCGTCCGAACCATCTGAGGTCACATTGCACAACTCTCTGTGTCGCAAATCTACTCTCAGCTGCTTGTTTCCCACCGGCTCTTGAAATCTCTGTTGTCGTCATCATCGTCATCATCGGCCTCTCCGGTCCTTTCATACCCAGTCGATGTCTTGGTGGGGCTGCGGCAAGACCCCCGATCACGCAGTCTGGCGGATGAAAGCAGAGTTGGCGAACGATGAGCATGGGCCATTCATTTGTTATCTTCCATCAGCGAGGGAATATTTGCAAGTTACCTGCAACCTGCGGTTGCCTGGCATTCTCTCCCAGATTGGACGCCGTGGTCTGGGCGATAGAAGCTGACTTTGGTCTTCTGCACTACGTAGAGAGCGGATCCCGCCTCGCGGCCTAAAAAGAGCGCTGATTTCAACCGAGTGACATAGTGGATGTGGATATATCCAGCGCCATCCTGTTTGCCATCAGTTAATCTAGATGGAGAGTCACTGCGTGGCTCTGCACGGCGTTGGGGCAATCATAAACCGCCGAGGCATCTAATCAGCTTTCTTGGCGTGTTGCTTTAACCTCAATACTGGAAGAACGCGGACTGTATTTGGTAATCTGAGATATTTATGGTGGGTTCGAGGCACCTCGTCCCGCCACGCTACTGTAATGTAAACTCAGTTTGAGAATTTTCATGTACAGCCCAAGGACGCGAAGGTTGAGGCGTGCGCCAGGAGCTGGTAGGCCTTCGGTCTAGTCATGTTCACGCCTACAAGTCGGAGAGGGATGCCATATCCTGGGGTGGTCATAGTATTTCCCACAACTTACAGCACACCAGTGTGTTGCGAGGTGGCTCGCATCTGGAGATCAGTCCGGCCTGTCACCGAGTATACCTTGCAACCGAGCCTCTCGTTGGCCTCCCGATCATTTAACCTCTTGGTAGGTCTCTATCAATCTCAGCTTACGCACTCCAGATTTCAGTCGTACATGTATGTAAATGAACCACAATGGAAGAAGAGAAGGTATAGCCATGGCTTCCAAGGAACCAGAAACTCTCAGCAGCAGATTAAATCCGGTCTCAGGAATGACGTTTCATGTTCCCATCTAAGATCTTGGGCAAGCAGTCGACCCAATGGCTCTTTGAAAGGAAGAAGGCGACAAGAAAGAAGAATGACTCCTAAGGGCTGTGACGGAAGGGGATAGTGCCTGTTAGGAGTGCAGTGCCAGATCAATTGTGCAGTACTCCCCTGATTCAAGCGAGCGCAAGTTCATCATCATCTTTTCCAATAAGATGAAAGTAGCTAAACATACTAGGAGAAATTATAATTAGGGTAATATTTGCCTCGTACCTTTATAGCCAGGCAAAGGATCGAACTCAATCGGTGTAATTTGCCTAAATAACTAAATGGGAGGTGAGGAAGAAAAGAAATTTCATCTGCCTCGAAGACTTATGGGATTGAAGCGATTCGGGCAAAATAAGCGATTCTTTCATGTTGCATATCCTGATCTCGAGCTTTTCGGATGCTGCCGAAACGGGTATTGATGGTGTCGCAGGGCCGGCTGGCGCGCGCTCGTGCACCGAGTTATGGTCGGGCCTCAGTGGGAAAAGACACTATTGGGCAATAGACTGAAGTGAAGCTGTGGTCGAATCCGCGAGGGTGATAGTAGGTCAACTTGATTTTACTGTGGAAATTTGAGTTGTCATAAGATACTTTATGGCCTACCTCTGGTGGAAAGGAAGAAATATTTCGCTCATATGGGCAGGTTTCGCCATCACGGCGGCACCAGATCCATATGCCTAGACAATCGGGATTCCAGTCATAACGTGGTCGGCAAGCGAGCTGCGCGCCCAACTACTTTTTCGCGTCCCCACCCGCTCATTTACCTTCCGTCAAGCACTCTTGAGACGGAGGGCCGGCTATCTCTGGCCGTACAGGCTATTCAGAAAAAAGAGATCACGTCAATTCGCGAGACAGCACGTCACTTTAATGTGCTGGAGTCTACCCTGCGTACGCGACTACGCGGGACTACAAATCGCGCTGAATCTCGCGCAAATTGTCATAAATTGACACAGATTGAAGAGGATCTGCTGAAGCAGCGGATATTGTCCTTAGATCTACGCGGAGCTGCCCCTACACAATCATGGTCGAGAAATGGGTATACAACTTCACTCGACGCCATCCAGAGCTTAAACCTCGGCCCTTAAAATGATACGACTGCCAGCGTGCACTACAAGAGGATCTAAAGATAATTCAAGCGTGGTTTAAGACCCTACAAGCCACGATCGGAGAATATATATAGCTTTGACGAGACTGGCTTCGCGATAGGCCTTTGTGCGAATCAAAATGTGATTACCCGGTCAGAACATTATGGTCGGAGACTGGCTCTACAGCCAGGACACCGCGAGTGGGTTACAACGATTGAGTCAATTAACGCTTCTAGATGGGCACTTCCAACACTTATTTTTATGGGTAGACAATATAACCAAGCGTGGTTTCAAGATCTACCTCACGACTGGCGCTTCGAAGTTAGTGCGAATGGATAGATGACCGACGAGATAGGCCTTTGCTGGCTCCAAAAGCAGTTTAGTCCGTCGACTAATAGTCGTACGCGTGGAAGATATCGACTTTTAGTCCTCGGTGGACAAGGGAGCCATCTTACACCACAAATCGAAGAAGTGGCGTGGCTCGAGAAAAGGGGGCAGTTAAGTACGGCCAAGTTGTAACTATAGGGAACAGTCTAATCAGATAAAAAAAATATCACTGAACTTAGCTGGTGAACTCCCTAAAACTCTTCGAAGAATGACCCAACAACCAAACTAAGACCGAGAAGCTGCGAATGAAACGAGAACATCGGTTACGCACAAAAACATCCTTCTTAAGAGGATACCGCATTACCGCCAGATATCTTCCGTCCACGATTGGACCAGCTATAAAAGATGTTCACGGCGGATTGTCAATGCACATCTGGTGAGTATTGATTACGTCCGCTGAATTGTCACACATTGCGTAGAGGTATATCCTATTTATGAAGTTAGAGTAATTCAATAGCACAGATAATGCATCAGGAACCGGAAGAAGGAAACACCATACTCTTCTTGAGACCCGTAAGGTTGATGTGGATCAAAACAGCTGAATACAGTCAGAATATGTCGCTTTTGATTAGTGCATAAGCTAGAGCTGATGAAACGTAACTTACATCGTCGAAAAACATCCATTTCTCGCGGGGATTCCTTCTTGCTGCCGAAGCTGATCAAACCAGTTTTTGTGAGCCAAACTGTTCGCGTCACCGGAATATGGAATAGGGTCATTGATCCACTTGGGGCATTCCACAACACAGCGGCTTCAACATCACTACCCTGTGCTACAGGTACACAGAAATACGGGCAGGGGAAACCTCCGCCGGAAGGTGAACTAGGTTTGCACGATCATGTCTTAGAAGTGAAGACCGGAATTGTAGCAGCCGAGTTAGTGCATGAGCTATCTCCTAGGGTCAGAATCAGCATCTCATTTGTCTTTTGACTCGGATGATCCTACCTCTTCACAGCCAATTGCAAGAGCCTGGGGAAGAGACCTAATGTACATTCCGTATATAAGAAATGAGGGCAAGGCGAGTAACGAATCAAAAGCAGCTCGAACGGTAGGATGAGACTCTAATCTGCGAAGCCGCCATGCTTTGTCGTCTGACAGCCGCGACAACCATCGATTCTTGAAGCGTGCATTTGCTTGATTTCGATATTCGCGGGCTTTAACTTGAACTTCACCATCGTTTGGAACCCTCTCGTTGCAATATCTGTCAACGAGGCTAGCTTGAAGATCCAGATTAATGTCTTTGGGCTGTCAAGAAGGGTTTGGTGCGGAAGAGGATGTGGTAAATCTCTTGCTTACCATCCGAATACAGGTCAACGGCCCATCACTGATCGATCGATGGTAGAAGTTGTTCTCCGGCCTTCAAACGATGTTTGCCGTGAAGGCATTCTACGGAACCAGCGGAAAATTCGAGATGTGGGAAGCGACTCGGTTGATCGGTCAGCAGGTCATCGGTGGTTGCTTCTGCTGCTTGAAGAGCCTCATGGAGATGCTGAAGTGACACAACAGCACTCACGTAATTGGCGCTATCGAGTCTCCGACAATCTTCCATATCGAAAATACCACAGAGCCTCTTGACATTCTTCTCACTTAAGTACTGGGAGAGAGATGTAGGGAAAGTGATCTGACTGATATTTATCTTGGCTGTCCCTTGGTATTTCCGACATCTTTCTTTCAGGGTCTCCAGCTCGGGATCTGTGTATAAGAATTCTTCCACGGCCGTTCGAAAAGTATAATTGGAAGGGTTCGGAAACGCGAGTGCTATTTATGTCTAACTGGCTTTGGCTCACGGAAGTGAGGCCCCACTTGTTTTCCGTTGAATCGGCGTCCTGATGACCAGTGTAGTTAAACATAGCTCATTTTACTGATGCGAAGGCAATATATAGTGCCTGTTGCGAACATGGCAGGACCGGACAATCTCAGGATGAGAGGAAGGACATGGGAGGACATGGACACGCCAACCACGTGTGCCACGCGTGCCACGCGCACCACCTCAAAACTTAGGATGTTATTGTAGCTTCTTCTTTTTCTTTCTCTTCTCCTCTCTAGCTCTTGAGATTCTCGATACCACGCAGTTAAGTGGAATGAAAGTTTATGAGTCCTTCTAAAGCTTTTCTATCTGGCGTACAACAAGAAGAAGGAAAGCAGGAATCTAAATACATGCTAGCTGTTTCTTCTTCAAGCACCTCAACAATGCATCTAGGATATCTTCTGCATGCATTGTTACTGATCTTTCACGTCATCCATATCCCTTATTGTCTCAATCGTCACAATCGTCACATTTTATTTGTAGGACAGGTAACTCATAAATGAAGTTTTGACGATAACTGATGACACTTCACCGTTGCTTAAGCGTCCCGTCCGACCCACATTTTGGCCTACCGTTCTCCTAGCTGGAGCCATAGCCTCTGTTTATTGTTCACTGTTCACAACCCCGTCTTTCCACCACCCTCTCCTTTCACCGACCCCTCTTGGAAACGCTCTATGACCCGATAGACTGCTCTGCAATTTGAGAATCAAAACTAAACGGGAGTCTTCATCACAATTCAACAAACAGAACTCCTTTAAATTTGTAGGTAATTCATCTTCTTTCGAGTGCACGATGATGGTTTACTATTGTAAAGGGTGCTTCTGGGAATGTCCGACCGCGGGGCCCACTCGACCCACTTAAACTCGGTTTCACTGTTGAATATTCCTCTTCTCTCGCTGATCTGCAATCTGGTCAGACGACGTGGGTAGCCAATCATTCAAGAGTATCGTCAGTCCCTTGACCTCTTTATCAAGTCATGTCATATTTCTCATGCTCTCAGAACAAAGTCACATTCCGAGCCTTCAATCTGTGCTCCAATTACTTTTTAACTTCGTTCTTTTCCTCTTTGAGATACTGAATGCCCGTTGATGCTTGTTGTAGATCGGGGCTTACCGGAGAGATTAGAGGTCCGGTGAAAACCATCACGAATTTACTCTCTAATTTGTTGTGAATCAACTTGGCCAAGCTTGTATTTACCGTACGCAAAATTTCGAGGTGGACCTTTTTTATTCATTCAAGTCGTTGCTTCTGTCATCGATACCATCTTGCACCATAGGTGACTTTTAACTCACTCCTGGCATAAGTTGTTTAACAGCCCCTAAGGGACTTACGGGGAACTATAAGATCCTAAAGAGAATGCGTTTAGCTGCGGCTTTTCCCGGTAGATGTTGGTATAAGGGTAGCCACTCCCTCATCATCTCTTCAAAATAATCCAGACACTTTACTAAACGAGCGGGGTTCAATTGTGCTCAATATATCAAATTCAACTCTATCCATTCAAAGCTCTTAAACTGGAGAAAATGACACCGGCTATTGATCGAAATCATTTACTTCAGATCTTTTTCGGAGACGTGACTGATGCAAACGTCTTGATTAAAAGAACTGAGGCTATGATAGCCGTGGAACCTGTACTATGCAAAAGAGTAACCATATATATCGCAAACCCCGTATTCGGTTTTCTCTAGCACGAACTGTTAACAAACGCCTCTTACAGCATAGACGAGGTACCAGACGGGTCTCCTTCGGTGTGATTGTTTAGCTAACGCTCACTTTCTAGGGGCCTTTGGTTCATCCTATCAGAGGTGCCACGATAGAAAGAGGGTTCGAGTCAAGAGAGTCGCTGAGGAATACAGGGATGGCGAGTGGGTTCGATTCGGGACACTCGCTGAGAAATACATGCTTCACTTTTTCGCGACACATGAGATATGTCTAATTACCTCCAAAGCCGCCTACGTCCCGTTCAGCTCCACCTCAGGCGCGCATGAAACTATCGTCTGTGATTCTCTAAAAGAATCATGGCAAATTGAAGAGCTTCAAGCTCTCCAAGACTACGGTTGGCTAGTACATTACTACGCTGATGGTCGCTTGCTTGATGGAGCATCCGCCCCGGAACTGGAAGGAGAGCTTGATCTAGACAACTACCGCTGCGGCCGTGTCTTCCTCGACAAGTATACCCTTGTGATAGTGGATGATTATTTGCAAGACAGTTCGTGGATAACTGAAAAGACAGAAATACGAGCCGAATATGAAGTTGGAATCGAATTAGCATTGTTGGGTTGGACTTGAATTGATATTTTTGAGTTTCTTTTTACTTTCCAACTCAGAGACTTGCACTAGGCCTTTGTCGTCTTCTTATCCGATCGAAATCGCGTGTCGTGCAGCATAACAGCCACCATTTGGGCTGACTGTTAATTGTGTATGATCGTGAGATAGGCATACATGATAATGTAGCTGGTAGTCAGAAATTCTGTTAAAGTGAGTAGCGCTCTCGGTCGAAGGAGTTATTCAATTGCGAAGACGTTACAGAAATAACATCTATAGGCAACACCGAAGCATTACAACGAGCATTCTGTCTGATACAAAGCCGTCTAGACATTGGGTAGCGTTCCTGGGGCTAGGACTTACGCCGGGAGCGCCTGTGCGGTGTTCTGGGATCAGTGTTGCATCTCCTGGGAACCACGAACTTGATCCTCAAAGCGCTATTGATCCCAGGAAGTACCGGCTGGATCCTGGGATAGTCACAATGTTGGGTAATCTCCACTAGGTTCCACATTTACTGCTGAAAAAACGAGTTAACTGGCACGCAGAAACGCCCGTGTCTATCGACCAAGCTGTAACCTCATTCGGCATGTCTAAATACAGCAATAGGATTCCGACCACGAATCAGATTTGGACGAGGGCAGGCTTAGGCGCAACTTGCAATGACCATTTTCTCAATAAGATCTCTCTGTGGACCCTGTTCGACAAATTGTTGGCGTTGCTCTTTGCTTGCGCCGCCGTCTACATCGGATTTAGAAGAAGACCGCACGAGACACTGACATAATGATATATCGGGGTAATCTGAGACAGTATGGACTAGTAAGCCTATCAGTCGAGCGAGATCGAGGTTGAGGTCAAGCCGAAACAATCTCGGATGAGAGAGAAGGTTGATTGATTAAAGAAAGAACGAATGTCATGGGGCAGATTGAAATACCCCGGAGATAGATAGCTTGGATATATGGTGTGACGACAACCGTATGGTAAGGATACTAGATCACTATGCAAAACATAAAGGAAAGCAGACGTCGGGAAAATGGTGATGGCGCCGCATTGACTTAGTGGTACCTTGGAGGTTTCTAAGGATGTGATATCTGGTATTGGGATTACTCGTATTTTTGCCACCTTTTACCACCTCGGATATGTAACCGTGTTACAGGAATTCTGGAGGGCATTTCAACCCCTAGCAGTTTTAGAGAACCAGAATCAACCCTCCTTTCATTTCATCATTGTTTTTCCCCTTTTGATTCTGTTGCCCTTGCTTTCTAGTAAGTTCAGTGTATTTCCATAGCTATACTGCGCATTTCTGATATCAGATCACTTAGGGTCACCCCTGTCTAAAGGTTGGGGTGGGGGGGGGGAGGGTAGTTACCGCTCTATGTCTCGACTGTCACGCGGGTGCCGACTGGTCACTGTGAGTTAGAACGTCCCGGGCCAATACTTGCCTACTATCCTAACTCCCAATCCTAAGACCTGATCTCTCAATCGTACTGTTGCTTCGCAAAGCCTTACTACGGGCTGGATCCTGTTGAGTGTCTTGCAAGACGTGTCAGAAGTGCGCGCCAAGTAGGTCAATCACTAAGTGTTACCACTGAGTGAATCCCCTACCTATAGGTTAGGTTTGTCTTTCGAGTTAAACCGTGGAGTGCAAAATGCTCAAGGTAGTAACTAAGTAATAATGTGCAATTGATCGCGAAGAACTAAATACATGGTAGCTAAGTGAGTGTTCTTATATATCCAGTCCTTCCTACTCCCCGATCTACTCCCTAGGGGTAGATCTGGAGTCGCCGTATACTCCTGCGTATACTCCTCAGAGTCACGCCCGGGGTATATCCTGATCACGTGCGGGGTTTACCGGGCACATGCATTTACGCTGTAGTACAAACATGGTAACCAGGCTTGGAAAGCGCCCAAAGAAGGTCATAAGTAATATGACCGTGCTGCAATATTGACGAGAGACGCTGCGAAATAGCTACATATGCTTGCTTTAGGTGGTCGATGAGCAAACGGAGATGCTGCGACGCTGACGATCTATGGTCCGAACTGTTGTCCGTGTTCTCCGCGTATCTGTCAAGCTCTGGAAGGAAATGAAAAAGGACGTTTTGCTCGATCTAAATCCACGTTAGCGTTATCGTTAGAAATAAGACTGTCTTAATTACCGACGGCTTGTCCTCTATCAGACTAATGACTTTGACATCGTGCAGTACTACACGCAGAATGTCACGCAGGCCTTCCGATTTGATGTCTATATACGGCCTCACCTCCTCGGAATTCCAGTCTAATAATACTATTAGTATAGTTCGGCCTTTAGGTAAAGGTATTATATACTAATAAGTTCACGGACAACGAACACACATTCAGCATGGTCGTCAACACCACCGCTGGTCTCCACCGGTTCGGTGACCGTGTATTTACATGCTTCTTTGTCCCAGCTATACCCGCGTCAGATATTTTCTGAAAGGAAAAGAGACGGAAGGAAGGGGGTTGGTTGGATCAGAGGCCTTAGCTGGCGACATACGTTTCCACGACCGTCTTGAATTAGGGTGTGGGGGCCCACTTTTCAAACGATTGGAAGTCCTCTGGTGTTGTACAGATGGGATGTTTGAGATCAAACCTATCTGGTCCAGGAACCTTCTCTCGTTTATCGCTTGCAGACGAAGACTGAGCAGGCTTATCTGCCATTGAAAGTTCAGCTGAGGCACACTCCAGCACCTGCCGAACCATCTCCATGTCGGGGCGTGGTGGGACTGGTCCTGGGAGACAGGAGTGTTTGGAGGTTCTTGATTGGTAAGATCGAGCACCTTTTCAAGAAGCACACCAAAGAGATGCTTCAGATCCTTTACGATAGCTTTAGAGGTGACCATCCCCTTAGTTGGGCTATCTGGGGGCGTCAAACCCTGGTTATTGGCAGAGGAAGTCTTCAATGCCATGTTGTGTTCGGAGGCTGGCAAATCTGGGCTATTCTGAACAGGTGGCGTACTGTTTCCGAGTCAATGGATGTTAATGACTGATGGATCCCGTCAAGGTTAATGTTAGATTTGAATATCAACCAAAGTCATGGTTTATAATCTGAGAGGTTGCTCTCATTTAAAGCTCGCTCAATCCCTTAATCCAGTGACAAAGGTACGCGCTGGAGTCTGCATGAACCTAAATGGATGAGGGTGTCTAGCTTTGTGGATGCTGTCTGTGTCGACGAGAACATATAAGACCAAGGGGCCCACGCCGGTCATCCATAGGTTCAATTTACATGTTGAGCGATTTAGTGGAAACCGCATGAGAAAACCAGTCAAATTCCACTCGTGTTCCGTTGAAAGTCTGGTGTGATAACGACGAAAATTTGGCGTATCGAAATTCTAAAAATATGGTAGGTATGAAGTTGGTGTGAAAGTCCTAAATACCTATTTTGCTACAGCCACAAAATTATTTATATCCAGACGATCTGCGAAAGTTGTTTCTCGGTCGGGCAACTGAAGTGTACTGGTAAATGCCTGCCAAGGGGCTTACCCGGATCAAGTCCAGCATGACGCCGAGTGTCACGTGGGAGGGGAACCGTCGGTTGGATGCCCAAGATGTTGCAACGTCTCCCAAGACTCAGGAAAAGGAAATGCGTCATGTCAAGAGAACTGTTTAGGGAGTTTTGATACGAGTACAATAACTCCTCTAGACCCATTTTCCCCGAATACTGCTGGTTTACGAACTCACACCTGCTCATCCGTCTCCCCTCGTTCCCGTAAGTGGTAAAAACTCCTCCGCCCATAACTGCCGCGCTCGGGCGCAGCATCAGACGACACTCTTATCCCTCCTGAATACTGTGAGGCTTATTCCTTGTTTATGATGCTCTATACTGGGCCTTTGGAACTTTGTCAACTAAAGCGACTGGACCTTCAACAGAGTATATTGTCCGCGCCTGACCCGCGTTCGATCCTGTCATATGTTCCGCAAAATCAAAGCCTCGAGAGCCTCAACAAAGGACGAGCTTCTCGACATATGCAACAGAGAGGCAAGCTTCCACAAATAAATATCATCCCGAGACGCTGCCACTAGTCCTAACTTCTGTCTAGCTCCAGTGCATCGGATGCATAGTTGTTCCTGGCCCAACAACGGGTCGTATACCAGACCTCCCCCCTCCTAATACGATTGCCGTTATCGTTGATATATCACCGTCTGGTGGAGCCATGAAAATCGGAGAGAAATCCGACAATGACCTCGGCGTTGGCGTTGTAGGTAAAGTCGGAACGGAGGATGCGGATGCTTTGGTGATCGTACCATGGAACAATGACTGGTCGTTCTATTCAATTGGGTCAGTCAGAATGCAATATGTAGTGAGGTCGTGACAGACTGATTATGATCATACCATGCATGAATTCACATTATTTGACGTCGTCGGGTGCTGGAATAAAATGATATCTCATCCGTAATAGGCATAGTTATAAAGGAAAATGAAGCGTTGTCGTATGGGTCAGTCATCCAGACTTGCCCCGTTATTTGGCTTGAGATAGCGACTGCACGGACATCTTCATGCGTCAACGCAAAAACACGTCCGCGGAGAGAGTCTATAGCTGTCAGATTATCATCCTATCCGAAAAGAGATTTAACCCACTCTATCCTGCTTCTGAGGGTCTTTCTTGACGAGGCGAAAAACTCCTGTTTCGCTTCTGATGTTCCGGGTCCCGCGTCTCCGATGACGATGGCAAATTCTCGAAGGGAATAACAGAACTACCAGATACTGGGGCCGTTGTTGGATTTGGATGCATCTCACTGGAGCTTATAGGGACCCCAGGCAGCAGCGTTTTTTTCTCTTCAGAAGCGTTGTTGGTGCGTGTAACGTCTAAATCTTTGTTAGCTTTGTTTTCGGCCCTGAATTAGCGACCGTTGACCTTGCTTGGAATACGCCTGGGCGAGGCTTGCCAGAAGTGATGGTCCGAAATCATTTTTGCGTTGCTTAAGCTTGATTGGAAGGCGCAGTCTTGATGCTTCTTTCATGTTCCCAATGGCAGTTTGCCCGAGGCCAAGTGCACCAGCAACCACAAGTTCATCATCGTTCAGTTGCAACCAAAAATGCCGATATTTCTCTCGCCTCTCGTCACCTTTAGATACAACTGTAGGCCGAGTCCCGTGGATAAGATCGAATGCATTTTGGATCCGCTTGGCTTCATGGGGCCTAACGATCTCTTCAATGGGTTGGTCAGCACTCTGTCGCAATTCGATCGTTTGAATTACTGTCTGAATTTTCAAAAAAGCGTCTTCGAGCGCTCGAGAGTCGTTTGTCTTTTTGCGTTCCGCCATGGATTTGTCTTAGGGTTTTCGAGATATGTGGCGATCAAAGACCGAAGGGAGCAAGTGGAAATGCGTTGTAATTATAATGCATTTCTCGTGAGTCCTAACTGTGAGGCCGCCCGAATGCATGTCTGTTCTGATTGGATATGTTTTGCCATTGGACAACGCCAGATATGTCGGCATCCAAAGTTAGCTAACAGGAAACGGAGGGATGACGACGAGACCTGCGCATTAGCCGAGTGTAACAATGGAAATGTAGTGTGTTCCTAGTGTGGGAACCATGACACAGCCTCGCGCTAATGCATGGATATTGGATATTCACATTTCGTCTGTTTCCGATCCGACGCTATTTGGCTCGGCGGCAAATGATTAGACAGTGAGCATGCCGCGCAAATTGTTCGAGCTATTTCCCCTTCATATCGCAATTGCAGCTCATGTCCCCCAGTTTTTGATTATCAATAAATGACGAGAGGCCAAGGCTGATAGGATTGTCCGGGGTCGAGCTGAAATCGAGCTGAAGTACTGCTGCAGCTGCAAAGAGTCACTTCAACAGCAGAGCCAGAACCAGAGTGTTGACCAATCCGTGTTTTCTATCGGCTTACAGGGAGAAACAATCGAACTTCATCTCTTGTATCTAGTATGCTTTACTATGCATCGGTTACCGGGGCACAGGCGAGCAGAGCATGCAGAATAATTTGGAATGAGCGTTTTTCTTATTAGGCAAGTTCTACCCTTGGCCGATGCTAGATATCCAGAGGTCCAGAGTTCGCTAATATGAAGGCAGAGATGATGAAGAGAGAAGCACGACGAAGAATAAGGTTTCAAGTGGTGTCAGCATATCGACACTGTGGTATCAATGAGAATATGGTGTGTTTCTCCTGTGACATCCATGACTCGGCCTCGCGCTAATGCATCGAGTTGAACACGGGTTCCTGGCTACCGACCATTCCTGGGCTGACCCTCTCGGGCCAATGATAGAGGCTCTTTCAAGCCCCCAAGAGACAGGATTCCTCGCTCAACACCCATCTTGACCCATGCTGTCTGCCCAATCAAGGATAGAAAATTACCTAGGTTTCATTTATCTAACATTTGCCTAGGCTCTGGATATTGAAAACACGTCAGATAGGTCCCAGCCATCCATTTCCTATCTCGGACGAGATGGTCCTTGTACGTTGAGGATGCGGCTCCAATGTTTTGTTAGTGTGAGAATCTTGACGCAACCTCGCGCTAATGCACGGGATTTCACATCGGTTCTGTGCTATTTTCCAATGATAAATGAGAGCTTTGGCCGTCGTCATGCAGGAGGCAAGTTGGTCAGACTCATTTGCCGGTCAAAGAAATCATCTACTTTCCCAGGACATGATCCAACAGTCGTCCGAATTCCCGCATGACGAGTAAGCTGCAGGTGGCGTGGCCGCAGGCATATACAGATGGGTTAGGGGTTAGAAGTACGAGGGCTTTACGCTGCTCATCCTCGAAGGCTGCCGAGTGCTAAACAGACACTTAAATACCACCTATCGCGTCTTTATCTAGAGCATCTCATTCTCTCTCCATCAACTGGTGCATCCACAATCAATAGCTCCTTCCCAAGCTTATTTCCATCATGGCAGTCGCTGTACCTGCTCCCATCATTATCCCTGGCCTTCATGTTCCTCCTACTATTAAGGACCTTCTACAGTCCTCGCGGGCGTATGTTGACCTCGGTGACTTACAATTAGACTGTTCGTGCGCTAACCACACTGAAACAGTTACAATCTTCTACCGGACGATGGAGACCAGCCACAAGTGCAGAAGACGCACCTTCAGGAGATTGCTGGCCTATTTACACGTTTCAGCGTTCAGAAAATATTTGGACTCCATCTCATCCACGGGCACTTTCAGATCGGGGAAGACAAAATCATGCTGGGACGTCCCTCAAATCCGTGCGGAGATGCTGGACCCAGCCCACATCTATCGCAGACATCAACCTCGCAGAGATCCATGGCCATATCTTCAAGCTGACAGCCATCGGCCAGATGCAAGCCTACGAGTATCGCCAAGGGCCAACAGCTAGTCTGGATGATGTCGATCCCGTGTTCTTCCAGGAACTGGTTACGTACCTTCAAGCCCATCACCTGGTTGATCTCCTCGGGCTTCAAGTCCTTACTAATGAGGTGCCGGCGATGATGAGCGAGTTTGTCCTCGCGGATAACGGCACCGTCATGTTGGATGACAGAGATGTGAAAAGCCGTGGGACACCTTTCCGCATCACTGGGTTCTTTCTTGGAGAGCTAGGCATGACTGAGTTCAAGGACGGAGTGACCCACGCATCAACTGTCAGAGGCACCCACCAAGTCTTTACCAACGAAAAGATCGAAACGGAGAACCAGCTTATGGCTGTCCTCCGAAATGAAGACATTGTCTTTTGAGTGTATCTTTTACCTAGGAGATAGTATCGAAATAGTTCAAAATCGGGGGTGTTACTAACGATGTCTTGCTAAAGTAGTTTCCATTCGCTCAATAGATTGACCAAGTATCAATGTGTACGCACAGAGTTTACTGCCAATACATATAGAAGTACATGCATGACATCCTACAACCCTGCCTGCATTGTAGCACATCATAAGCAGGCTCAGGCAAAAGGAGCCCACTCACCAGCAGCACAGAAAGCATCGAGATACGAGCGAACCATCCGGCTGGTCCATCCGCACACTTTGCACTACGCCTTTCGCATCAAAATTAAATCCATAACGGTAAAAAAATCCAGCCATCCTCGCAGCGCGGATCAAATACAAATCAGTGGAAGAGAATTTATGAGCCTCTTCTCGAAAGGTTTGCCAGAAGAGACTCTCGAGATCGCGGTAGCGATCGTAGTAGTGCCACCCTTTTGAATCCATCCGGCCCAAAAAATTCTCAAGCCCGTATAGGGCGAAGCCGAACGGCAGAATTCTTGATTCAGCCCAGTCGACAATTCCTGTGATATTTCCAGTTTTGGGATTGACGAGGAGATTCATCCCGTTAAGGTCACCGTGGCTAAGAACAAAGGGGAGGGCTTCTGAGAAGAGAGACGGGAGCTCCTTGCGGACCCTTTCTAGGCTCGGTGCAAAGCGAGATGGCAGATCTCGAGCAAGAAGGTCAAAACTTGATTGAAACTCCATAAGCAATGTTGCAGTTGCATCTGAGCATGGCCGTAGGTCGTTGTTCCATGACTGTGCAAGGAACCTGTTCTAAATGTTAGGTTTTACAAATGAAGCAAAATCTTTGCAGCGTACCTTGCAAAGTCCTTAATAGTGTTACGCTGTCGGGACATGTCGTCTGGAGGAATGCGCGCCATTATGTGAGCAGTCCCAGGAAGATGCTCCATCTCGTAGATATAGACTGGCCGCGAATCGCCCATGGTACCGAGATACTTGCAGCTAGCCACAAATTCGGGATGGATTGCTTTGGCAAGGGAAATTTTGCCCATGTCAATGGTAGAGTTCTCATCTCGGAACTGGAAGAGCTTGGATTTGTTGGGCCCCGCTGTCACGGTATAGCTGCACACTCCTTCAGACTATACTACTTTCTATGTGATCCTAACAGTGAAGTGAATATGGAAATGAAAGCTACCTTTGCAAATACTTCTGTTGCAAGAACACTGTGTTTGTGTCTGATGGCATTCCACTCGCCTGTCCGAGGTCAGGAGTGGAGGAATTCCGTACGACCAGACATTCCAATATGGAAGACCAGTTTCGATCACACTCGCTCTCACATTCCCGAAGACGAATTTCGGCAACTACCTCTAAACTCCGACAGTACCGCCCCAGAATTTCCAACCCCAGATTCCGGTTCGACTTATGAACCATCGTCATCTCCGCCAGATGCCCCTGAATCAACAGCTCGTCAAGTGTCTACTAGATCTCGAGTTAGCTGTGCCCCATCCGATGTGAGGCATTGCTCACGGTCGTCACAATCACCAGACCCCGATTCGAAACCAGCAACACGCCGCAAGCGAGCCTTCAGCCAAGTTCCGTCTTCTCCATCTGCTCAACGCGTGGCTCGACAAAGAGACACGAATAATGATAAAGGCCCAGACAGCCAGTCCCGCCACCGCGATGCGCAATTTTGCACCCAGCGATGTTTGCTCGGGTTGCAGTCTGGAGGTGTTCTAGACAACTGTTGTCCAAATGTAATGCTCCATCGTCAAAGCAAGGATGATCTGCAGCATCCGATTACTTCAGAAGACTTGGTCCGTCTACTCAAGGCACAATTGGACGAAAACATTGACCGTTGTAAACCCCTTGGAAATTGCGGGGCGTACGGTGCGCCGTTCAAACTTACTTGTGTCGTATACGGCTACACTGTCATCGGAAAAGGAACCACATCGGAGCTGTGGAAAGAAGTCTCCCGCGAAGCGGAGGTATACCGAGTTCTGCAGAAGGCGCAAGGGTCCGCTGTGCCTGTTTTCTTGGGTACCATTGATTTGGCGAAAATCTATTTTCTTCATGGAGCTGGAAAGATTCGTCATATGCTTGTGATGGGCTGGGGGGGAGAAAACACAGCATCGATGGTGCTGACGCCGTGGCTCCACCGGGAAATTCGCAAATCAAACAAAGAAATCAAAGCCCTGGGAATCATTCATGAAGATTTACGGCGTGACAATGTTCTTTGGAATAAAGAACTTGGCCGGGCATTGATCATCGACTTTCACCGATATACATTGAAATGTCGGCCGACTTTGCAGCGATCACGCGCGGTAAAACGACAACTATGTCTACCGGAGACGAGAGATCCAAAACGTCTTTGTGTAACGTGAAGCAATGTGCTTAATTTATTGGATTAGCGATTCAAGTATGTATGACAATGAAGCATGAAGCACTTTCAGGCATCATCCGTGTGAATCAATCAGGACTTCGACCTATTATTGACCCTCGATGCCCGTTTCCTCACTCCACCTACGTTGCCTCAAGAGATAGACGCTTCTATTGTGTTGACAATGACGAACTGATCGTCCAATTCTGGCTCTCGTACTTGAATTTCATGTGAGGTAATGAATCATATGAAAACTTTGATACAACTGAAGCTTCAGGACCGATAATGGACTGTCGTGTGCTAACCGAAAATATTCCGATAGTTAAGCGCCCAACCGCTCGACAACCTTGAGGAACGTGAGTATCCACACTGCTTTCCCAGGTATGCTGTTAGACATACATTCCATCGGCAGGCCTCTCTCTGCCAAACTCCTTTGAAATTTTCCTATTTGATTCGGCAGCTAACTCCAAGTATTTGTAGTTCACCTGGTTGACGTCAGCCTCAGCGAGAGCGTGTGCAATTGCTGCGATGTTTTTGATCTGGTTCATGATTAGTCAGCAAGACGTTCAATGCAGCGCTCGGACACCCACCTCTCGTCCATTCAGAGCTAAAGACTCCAATCGTCGGAGTTCGTGCTCCTCAACAACAGCAGGTCCTTGCATCGTACATGCCTTGGACAGAAAAGTTGACCAGAGATCTCTGCGGAACTCTCTCGTTAAATTCTCATACTCAATGATAAAATGGATCCGGCTGAGAATTGCGTCATCAAACTGGATACCCCGATTTGAAGTCAAGAAAAGAATTCCTTGATAATATTCCAGCTTTCGGAGGGAAATGGTCACAAGGCGATTGTGGGTATCGTGGTAAGATGTACGCTGCTCCATGAATGCGTCTGCCTCATCTAAGAGAAGCACGGCATTGAAGTGTTTGGCGATCTTGAATACTGTTTCAAGCTGCTGCTCAAGCGCATTGGAATCTCCGTGGTCGACAACAAGTTCGCCTGCGGATATCTGAAAAAATCAGTGACGCCAAAATCAGCCGAGCTGGATGGTTCATACCGAATAGAGGGGGAGCTTGAAATACTCCGAGGTTGCCTCAACCGTGAAAGTCTTTCCGACTCCTGGTGGACCACTAGCACGAGTTAGGTTGGAAGTCTTGATAGCATAGACGCTTTGCTGACAAACTTCAGTAGAATGTTAAATCCTTGGCCCTTTCCATCAATTACGTCGTCGAACGGTACCGTTGGTATCATTCCTAGGCTGATTTTTGGGGAATCCTAGAAGAACCTACACGACTTGACCAAACTAGTTCTCATGAGAGGTTTTGCGTACACGCTTCCCAGTGACCGTGCGACTCCTTAGTCCCCAGGAACAGTTCCTAGCCTGTATGAGACATATCGAGGTGGAAGTATGTACAGTTTTCGGCGTGTTCGGATACATTGAGTTGGCATGTCTGTCTGCGCTAGATGGGGTTCGAACAAATGCCCCTGCTTCGCCGGGTCGGCCAGTAAATGTCGATGTTGTCGTTTCGCGTTCTTGGTGTCTTCTTGAATCAACATGGCATTACCTTACATCGGCTCCCACAGCAGAAGTCTGCCAGCTCAAAAAGGCTATTCCCCGTCTGTCATTGCAGAGATCGTCTCGTATTGGGCTTGTGACGAATGTCGAGTAGTCTGTCCAAATACTGCATGCCCAATAATCTTGAAGAGGATTTTGGCGAGTGTCCATGAAGATGATATTCTTCGGCAACAGCACGTAGACTCTGCCGACTTTCGAGCGCGTGGACGTCGTTTAGAGACGATTTTTTTCTCAACTCTGATGATGCAGTCGTGTTGCGGCCCTTCTCGTGGACGCCAAGTTGGAATATGCTTCCCGTTAAAGTAAGTGTTCCAGGATATCATGTTGTTACGTACAACCAAATTCGCCGATTTCAAATGAAAATTGTCGACTTCATCATTTGATACTGTGTTTTATACCCTCTACCTACTCCTAGCACCAAGGCGCAGGTTGTGTGCTATGAATAAAATCATTCGGTCTTGAGCAGCATCAGACAATATGATATGGGGTACGGATGCTATTCATAGTATCTCAGTGTAAAGCCGGGAGATTTCGATGGTAATTTACGTATTCTGGTACATAATTTCATCTTAATGAGAAATTAACTTGGTCTACTACCAGAACTCAAACTTCATATTAGTAGATGGAACGTTTCAATACTTTTATCCACTACTAAAGACAGAACATAAAATTAGACTAGTATGAGATATTTATATCTTCTCTGCGATGTGCAATTCGATGTATTTTCAGAAAATCCTGGCGCATGTGCCATGATGATTTGTAGATGTCGATCTACAGGAAGGAAAAGAAGAAGGTGAAAAACGTGAAAGGTATAGGAAGGTAGAGAGGCTATCTAATGTGTGGAATTTTGCGTCCCTCGGTGGTGAGTCGGCAGAATCATCCAAACAATGATATGTGGAAGTATGAGAGTTGGGCCAGATATTGTCAGACCGTATATAGCGGAAAGTGAAAGGAAGGATAGGTAAAATATGGAACCCCTCTCTCACACTTTGTAGTGCTGGGTGTCGTGGGGTCTCACAAGGCATTGCTGACTAGAAGCAGACACCCAATTGTTTCCTTGGTACTAATTCACCAACGTGGCGGGATAAGGGAAAGAAAAGCTCGGATAGCTTGTCGACACAGCTTTTTAGACAGGTACGATCGTCGAAAGGGCGCAGAAGTCAATCTAAGGCAGGGAGTGGACAAAATAAAGATTCAATTGTACACTTGAAATTGAGACATGCGAAAGGCCGTCTGAATTGGGCAAAACCCGCATCGGTAAACATCAGTCTGAACTCAGGTTCTTACTTTTACCATTCTTCGTTGTTGGTACGTCGGCGAGCTAGTTCAATGACAAAATCAGACAAGACCAACTTCTGTTATAGTACCATCCATTCGGATACCAGCTTTGATTAGATGATTAGATTTACACATCTCTCTCATGGGGTCGTACGGCAGGGTTTAGCCTCTCTTGAAATGTTACGCTTGCGAAGCAAGTTCTGGGACTGAATTATGTGAAAACTATCAATTACCTCCACTAATTTGTGCACTTCTCGTAGAGTCCAAGGTTATCATGAACGCGATTGACTTAGCCAATGTTGTGAATATGGCAGGACTGACCAGACTCAGGATGAGAGGGAGGATGGGACATGGGAGGATAGGAGACACGCGCGACACGCCTACCACGTGTGCCACGCGCACAACACGCACCATCTCAAAACCCAGGATGAACTGTAGTCCCTTCTCTTTTCTTTTTCTTCTTCTCTTCAGCCGCTGAGATTCTTGGTACCACGCAGTCAAGTTAGAATGAGAGTTTATGAGTCCTTCTGAAGCTTTTCCATTCTCGCGTACAACAGCCAAGATGACTAGAAACAACTTTAATTTGACAGAATGACAATGTTCAAAATACCTTCGCCCTCTCCTTGATCTTCATTCCGGCGCCGATAACGCAACGCTGAAATACTGGCAGGCACCATGTATAGAGCTTGGAAATTACAGGTCAATAGAGAATCTTTCTGGGCGTCGCCAGATTGATACTCTCGTGAGGAGCCTATAATTTCTCTTCGTTCCCCCGTCGAACTCACTGTATAGGCAGGCGCTTGTATGTGTATATATGAATTTGACTGGTTTAATGAGATCACATCGAACAGGGAAATGTCACGAGCTAGTCCCGGCAGAGCCTTGAAAGGAGCCTAAGGCGAAGATATGAGGTCTCATAGGTGCCTTAGTACATTGAGTCCGATCATCAAAACACATGCGATCAACCATCCACGGGAGTCCTCTGCCGCTTTCTTTGTGTCTCATTCACAGAACTCAGGTCGAGGTCTCTGTATAACAGTGTTGCTTTTCCACCTTATAGTACAGGATCAGTTCCGATAGCAATGTCTTTAGTCGATTCTTGATCAGCTTCACCCGACTAAGGCTTTCACAGTCTCTGTTTCTTTGAGAAAGGTGATGGTCAGTACTCAGAATGAAACCTTGTCACGAGGCGATAACTACCCAGCTTCTTTCCATTCATATGTTCAGGATCTTCCGTGGGAGTTATCCTATGCCTTTAACAAGGCAACCGATAAAATGGCGAACATTTACAGGATATCACTACCTAACCAGCCTTCTTTATATATGGCTTCACCAGTATTGCTCCTTATTTAATTCACCAGTACCTATATCTTTCGTTCAACAAGCATACCATTCCATACATCCAACACACCGAGGCATAGCTCCCGTGTACAAGGTAACATAAGTAGGATCTCTCCTAATGATATTTATATTCTCCAAAGGCTATACTAACCCTATCCGACGATTCTCAAGACCACCTTACGACGTCTGTCTTTTCTCCACGAAGGAAGTCTTACTTTCAACGCCAGGCACAAGTCAGAGCGCTATGCCTTACTTTCTGGGGGCATTTTCGCGATATGATAAAGCCCCACCAGTCCCCAAAGAATACCGAGGCGGAGCTCAGTCTCGCTCTGTTCCTTGACTACGCGTTGAGAATCTACGATATAGAAAATCCGACTTTCCAAACAAGTGATTGACCTAGCTCTGTGTCTGGCTCTGCGTACAAACTTGCCTGACGCCCCAAGACCGAAGAAGACAATTTCACCCAGTTGGTTCGATTCCAGTCTCGTTCAGTCGTACTTGGTTTGGGGAGCCACACTTTTGTCTGAAACAACACAGTGGTCAACAAACACGATCCTAGCGGGACGCGGAGCGGCGGAATGTATGTTGCAGGCACATTCAACCAATTCACAAAAGTCTGCGCCCGGTCGCTGTTTGGCCTACAGTAAATATTGAGGGAACTCCCAAGCTTTCCCATAGGACTGTATCTAGGATTTCAATTCGCGGTATCATAGCTCCTGAAGGGCTGGTTTTGTAAAGATCACTTATCAGAAATTATGACAGATTGCATGGCAAGGTTTGGGGACAGCAGTGCTTTCCGCCGGAGAAGTGCTTCCTACAAAGTGCGATTGATCTTGGGATCCTAATTTTAAGTGTACTAGTAAATTGATATGAATCAAGAGTAGAAACATCCTTGAATCAGGTCTCTCTTGGCAATAACGCTAAGAAACGCGGTATAGCAGCTCACGAAGTCTTCTCAAAGAAACAGCCTGACATACCAAGACTAGCGAGTCCTAATTTTCTAAGCTATCGCGACTGTTAATTGACCCAAAAAGGTTGGATTGGCAGGCTTTCATCACATATGGCTGAGACAAAGATTGATTGGGCTCATCAAATTCAACACCGAATGACCGTCTATATTACCTGAGAGTCAATGATACTATCAGGTTTCGTTTGGTGTTCAGTCGGTAGTCAATTGAACATTGCCCAAGCCATATACAATCTCCATACGGACCGGATTCAGCAGCAGCATCCCACTCTAGCCACGGGTCAACCTGTTTAATGGTGAGGTCTGCCATACTGCCAGGCGCACATGGGATGGCGCCCTCTCACCACATAAGACCACCAACCTCAGCAGTCTAGCCTAGCTTAGCTTCCTTCTTCCTCCTCTCCTCCTTCCTCCTCTCCTCCTTCCTCCTCTCCTCCTTCCTCCTCTCCTCCTTCCTCCTCTCCTCCTTCTAGTCAACGTCGAGTGTTTTCACCTTTCAGGCTGTCCCTTCGTAGGATCCTGCAGTCAAATAAGTATAGTAGCTACAAGCGACAGCTTCCAATTCAGTCGCGATTCCTGGAATCACTTTGCACCAACCGACGAGTTGAGGGGTGGTTTTGTGGATGCAGATCAAGTGTTATTTTTGGAAAAGTCATCCTCCATGACTATATAGCTTTGTACTTTCAGTTTCGTATCAGTATGTATAGTGCATTAAATGATCAGGGGTTAAGATCATCCCTCTATTTTTAGAAATAGAAGGCAATAATGGACGGCACAGGTGTACATTGAGATTCCGAAATTGGTGAAACTTATGAGACATGACAGGGTGCGGGAAACTTCAGTCCGCAGTGAAATATAAATGCGAATTCTGAGACCGATAGAGCCATTTATGGACCCGTAAGGTAGATTCTTTTCATTCCTCACACAGAATCCATCCTCGTAGCCAACAACAGTCTCCTGCCTCACAAAAAGCAAAAATGAGGGGCTAGGTATGGATGGAATTTCATGTGAAGACAAGCCATTGCTCCCATTGCCGTTGATCCCATTTTCTTTGGTCCCACGACCTTTGTTCATTAAACAAAGATTCTCAACACCCGATGTCAAGCTGAGTCAAAGCCTAGCTTTCGGGTTCATAGATGACGAAAGAAAGAACCAACCACTACCTCTGTAGCCTAACCTCTATGAGCACGCCGCTGAGACTTCCTCTCGGTCAACCCCCAGTTTTGTCTCGAGTAGGTCCACACCAGGCTGGGGACAAGTCCAAAGCAGAACAGATCATCACGACAGCATAAGGTAAGTCTCAGAGAAGGAAGACCGTCCAGTACATTAGTGAGGACAAAAGTATGCTTGAAAGGCAGATCGCTGGCCACATTTTTCGGCTTTGACCGCGAGCAAAGATTTGATCATTCTGCTCTTTCTAGTTGACGATCTGTTACGGCGTATTACGGGCTTCGTAGCTGTACCGAGCCGTAGCCAGCCGCAGCCGTAACGGTGCGATACTTACATCGTTCCCGGGCATACAAGAACATGCGTTCTGGTATATTCTAGTCTTTTGGCTTGTTTGGTTAATAGACCCGGCTATTTCCCATAACACGATTACTCAAGCGACTGAGAGGTATCATCACAGAAGATTCCACGTGGCTTACTAAATTCGACTGACCTCTCAATTGCTGTCTTTTACTCAGTGAAAGACTATTTCCGAAAGCAGAATAGCCTGAGGGGGGACAGGGTACGTATACAAGTCAAATGAAGAGACGATAGTGATTAGATAGAGATGAAGGATGGAAAATTTACTTTACAGAGCAAGTAAACTTAGGTATGTGTGAATAACAAGTCTGACTCTTGATTCCCTACACACTAGCTTCCTCTGATGATTTATCCTTGGGGAATCTGCGAGTCCTTCGTTCGGTCGTGACGTCCTTGACCTTCGGCTGACGGCGGCCAACGGGATGTTACGAGTTAGCGGGAGTTAGCGGACTTGGATTTCTTCTGCGGAAGAAATCAGTAGCGGGAGGAGAATGCCGAAAGGAGATCCCGTAACGAAGGCATGTTCCGGTGATCTCATCACCTTAATACCTTCTGCAGATTAGATTTCTCTTTCCTTTTCTCCCTCAGGCTTTTCGACTTTCGTTGAATGCACAAGTTGATTTCGAACTTTTTGGCACGTAACACGTGACCCATCATGGATGTCCTCCTTCCTCTTGTTCCGTTATCCAAGCCCCCGACCGAGCTTACCCGAGCTCTCGGCACTCAAGGAGACTGCACTGATTTCTCTTCTGACACTCAGAAACTTTATCATCTGCTCAATTGACGAGTTCGATTCCAATAAATACAGGCGTAGGGTGCTATCTTCCAGCAAGATAAGTACTTAGACCTTCTTGGAGTGAATCGACTATCGAGGGTTTGGGCTATTGTGGGACTTTCGACACGCTCACGATAGCTTTGCCTCCCCACCTCGTCGGCTTCAATGGTTTCGGGTGTGTTTAATATGATCTGCAAGGTATTACGTGGGATCATGCCTTAACTACTTCAGTAGGATCGCAATCTCTCTCCGGTTGACGCAGAGCATATGCTCCAAATTTGGACAGCATTGACAAAATCGAGCGTTAAACTTCAGAATGTAGTTCTCTGCGGTAGTTTTCAATCGGCGACAAAAGAGGGTTTATCGCATATTCTTGAGTATCTAGAGCTAGTTTATCTCGTGTGTATCCTAGATAGCTCACCTTCAGCGTTTCTCCAGGTAGGGCATTTTATTCGTGATACGGAGCTAGAATCACATAGTATCGGAATCACTGCCGAACAAGGGTACGTCGCATTGAAATATAGCTACATTAAGAGGGTATGCTGTCAACATGGATTGGTTTGTATCGCAAGATTCAAGAGTAGTATGTCTGTGCCACATAAATGTTATCATATCGTGCTGGATTCCAAAATCGGATTGTCCATTCCGAACAGATAAAGTCGGCCAACATGTTGTGAGGATTTCTTCTGAGCTCGAGACAACAATATCAGATCTGTCCGCATACAACGCTAGTATTGAGAGACTCGTCAGTTTCTCCCTTCCTGAAAAAGCCTCAGAAAATCGAAGCTATATGATTACCCATCCATACGACACTGGTGTATCTGTTGTCTCACGCAGACGAAGGTAGAAACTCGACCCTGCTGGTTGAACCGCACCGATTTCAGTTGCATGGACATCCTTGTTCAAGACTAAGTGAGAGGGATACTTTTGAGAAATCTCTTTGTTGACATCGAGGTGATGGCAATTGTCGTTTGAAAGATCTCTAGTCAATTGAACGGCGTTTTGAGCATACCGTTTATGTGCATTTTAGGAATCTGCCAATTGGTCACTGAGCCTTTGCAGTCCGATAGACATTTGAGGATCCTCTTATTGTCTACTTCAGGCAAGAAAAGCGGAGGCGGGCTGAGTGTGGATCCATACAAACGACCGTTGGCAGGCCACAGAAACACATTTGATACGGGCCATTTCTCGCCCAGCAGGTCACGAAGACGACCAGTAACTACGACTTAGAAACAGCCGGTAACCTGTTGTCCCGCTCTGCCAACACGGTACAGTAAAAGACCCGTTCTCATTCTTCACCACTAGTTCAATTATCGAAGCGTGGGAATTGCCTGCGAAGGTCCTCGCCCGTTCCGCTGCATAGAAGATTCCCACGGAATAGGCCCACCAAATATGAAGAGAAGGCCCGTTTTGCGGGGCTAGTAGAGCCTGCGTTCTGATCGATTAGGTGTCCCTAGCGTCGGATGGTCTCCAGTATACTCCGCTTGCTGGAGGAGATCTGGGCGCTTGTTATTTCTCTGTTCTTAAACCTTAACTCTCTCTGTGATGGTCAAAAGTCAGTTCTCTAAGGTATCATATTAAGACTAGAAAAAATACCCACAGCGATTGGCGGACCAGAGTGACGAGTACAAGATGGCTATAATAAGAGAGAGCAGGGAAAAGAGGTGGTAATGTGGCATATCAGAGAGAGTGGGCGCCAACATATATACCTTCTTCAGATTGTAGAATTAGTGTAGGCCTGGGCGAATGTTACACAAAGTAATCCTGTAGAACAATTAGTCCTCTTCGCTCTGCCCTGCTTGCTTACTTTAATGGCTTGCAAAACATCGTATCTGGTTACACAGAGAAAAGAAGAGAGCATATCTATATAATATCATACAAGCGTCATCCACGGTTGGTTGGAGGAGCCCTTTGAACTTTCAAGATACAATAAAATATTGGCGTCTCGCTCACCTACCTCCTCAGGTGCAGAAGTCGGTGGTTTCCCTGGACTGTTTGATTTTGAATCAATATGAATAGAGTAATCTGCCATCTATGTCCCTGTGCCTCTCCAAAGGCAATTCTACACTGAAGCGCCAAACCGTAATTGATTCTCGTATTGTGCGCAGATATCTTTCGCTCCTACTGGCTCACAGACACGGAATGCAAGAGCAAGGTTGGGATGGTGAGGCCGTATTTGCCTCGCACAGATGTGAGATTTCGTCAAGTGCCGTACAAGACGTCACACTCCACTCTAATCGCCACTTCACGCAGGATTCTGCTTCATTTTCTTTAATCCATGCCCAAGCCGAAGAGCTAAAAAAGACGGTCAAGTCATGTCGTTTTATATGCTCAGAATGAGCTTCCTTGAAATTGAGTCCGCTGGAGTAGGAAGCAGAATCATTTGCTTCTTGTACAAGCCCCAGTGCCGCTTCCTGGTGCAGATAGCAGGGGTGCAAGGAGAACTGGTCTGTCAAAGCCCGGACAAGACAGCCTGTCTGAACCAGGCAACAGAGGATCTAGCTTCATTGGGCCCCGTGGTTGATCGATTCTTGTCGCCGCACAAGTCTCACGCTTTTTCTTTCGCCGATGACTCCGACTCCGTCGACGAACTTGACCGAGAAGCGAAACTCGGCATCGCAATTTTTGAACAGTCAAAATCGTCAAGACTGAATATACAGAAATCATAATCTTCACAGTGTTGGAGTTCTTCTTGATTTTGCTGTTCCCTCCTGATGACTCGGATCTTCGCGGAGTGAACGAGGGGGGAGGGGGGTGTAACGGCGGAAGTAACGTTCGATGAGCCCCTCAACTTTTTCAAGTGAAACCCATAATATAATCGTTATTCCACATGAACAAACAAACCTAGCCATTAGAACCTCCTTGACCCCTAAACCACGGTATTTACGGGCAGTCTGGGATTCTCATCGTAGGCCAGTTTGCCGCTACCTCGAGGAGCTGGGTGTATCTGTCCTGCTGATTTGCAGCAACTGGACCGCAGGGCAGCAGTGCAAATCAGCAGGACAGATACACCGCCTACGAACTTGTTAAGGAAACGTACGTAGAACAAGGTGAATTGGAAATCCGACCAATTTCACGTACCTATTCACTCTTCAGCCACCGAGGAAAGAGTAGGAGATGCAACAGTACTTGTGACCATGGACGAGTTGCCTCACTGTAAGTCAACTGTATCAGATAATCAGCCTCGCACCATATAGCACAAGAGTTGGCTCGTGAAAATTGCCGGAAATGATAAAACGCCTTGTAGTCAGCCTTGTTAGGCAACCCCGGGCTCCTAATTTCAGCCCTCGACAGACAACCCGGTCGATTGGGGCGTTATTGTTGTCCTCTCACTTGCGTCCAGCACGTCAAGGCGTTTTCCACTCAGTTAGGAACCCCTACCCTGTGATATAAAAATATGCCTAGTTTCTACTTGAACCGGCTCATTCCATCCATCTCTTGAATGCCAGAAGATCTCATGCCAACTCCAGCTACAATGTCCGATGTATCAGCCCACAAATATTCTCTGCAATCCGTTGGTCAAGCCGGATTCATCACGCTAGATCAAGTAGAATCTGCTGGAATTCAACTCTGCGAAGGACGTTTGACACCGCGACCGAGAATCTCCGGCGATTCTATCAGTGTCGTTTTCATCGTCGCGACTGATAATGACAAGAAGTTGCAGAACATGGATCAACACATGCAAGAAAGTCTCCGCAAGCTTCGCGAAAAGATAGCAAATCCAATCCAACTTCTCGGCACTTTCTGCCTGCGCGAAGTGGACTCCGGTGTCCCAGCTCAGCCACAAGGTTTCAAGGAAGGCGTCACCGGCGCCGCCGGAAAGTATGGCCGCATTGGAAACGCTTTCATCGCCGTCAAAAACTTTCAAGATGGATTAGCTAAAGAAATCAAGATATCCAAGGAGCTGGCAAGTGCGATTGAGGACGCGGATGTTCATATTTTTGGTGGACAGGAGGCGTCCCCGGACCTGGAGCATGAACCGCCATATGAGCCGAACTACCTTGCCTGCTACAATGCCACCGAGTCCCCTGTACCCCAGAAGGAGCGCTACTGTGTGGTGAAAAGCCCTGGACTGGAGGTGATCAAGGCCGCCGTCGAGGAAGCTATTGGACGCAATAAATCACTGGACGAAGCTGGCAAGGACTGGACCGGTGGTAAAATTCTTGTGGAACGCGGAGTGGTGAAAAGCGCCTCCAATTGGCACCCAGAGCTTGGAAAAGAAAAAAAGGATCGATTTGAGTATGCAAATGAGGGTTTGGTGAAAATGCACCTACCTGAAGTGTGGTTCAAACATCTCTCCTAAGGCTCTCCCACTTCGTCCCTCGACAGCCACTCTTCCGAAAAGAGTTGATGCGCTTAAGGGTCAGGCTTATCGCGGTGGAGCTTGTTTGCTGTCCTTCAGCCTCATTCTGTTCTTTGAGGGAATGATAATTTCCGTATTTTGGAGCTTCGATTGCTCATATCAGTCTTTTATTGTACCGCAATCGCTTCTGCGCGTCTCCTGCATAACTTACGATATTTACAATAGAAACTTCCCCTTAGATATTTACGTATGTAGCTAGAAATTTCTTGAGAGGGCAGATTGGCCTTACTGTTAGGGTCAGGGTTGCAGGGCGACTAGGACTGCTGACTGGGCAAAGGATTGAAGTCTAGGGGGGTCTGTATTCAAAGACTTAATCTTGAAGGTCGGAACACTTCCTCCCTTCTGCGATTATTGTACATGGGGCTTCCGCGTGTGGGACCCACACTCATGCGGTCTCAGGGCTACGGCCCAGGAGGGATTCCGCAGCGTCCTGCATGTGACTCATCCGTGGCCGCGCGTGACACCTACGTAGGCAGATTTTGCCTTTTCCGTGTTCCCCGTCAATCTTGAGTCTCCCTTTTCCTTTGCCTTAAACCAGTAGGCCGGAGAGACCCCCCCACAACCGCTGGAGCGATCATAGATGCCAAAAGGATAAATCTTCAACAACCCAGTTCTTGAATTAATGAGAAGGAGCTTAATCCCACAACCTTGGAGCCAAAATTCCAGTACCGCTAGTTATCATTGCAGGCTTAGAATTAAAGAACGTGTTATAGAAATGGGAAGACATGGAATCCCCGGTCTTGAGAACAATGCGCGTGGAAGTGCGTACTGAATCATTTGTGATTCGTATGATGTATTAGGAACTTCAATTATTGCCACCTACGCCTGTGTGTTGATGGCTTCTGGGCTTGGTAAGTTGGTGGTAGCTAAGATACGGAAGCCGTCAAAGCCTTCAAAGCCTGAATGAAAGTTGAGGAAAAGAAAGTTTCCAAATGTAATTCACCTCAAATGATCATAATCGATGCTCACTGGTTCGCGTTATCTTGGTCGCAAAGATCAAATCCCGTCAGAGTTCGAGTAATCCAATGCCCCTACTTCCACCGCGTTATTGAGGCTGATTGCTTGTTTGTTTAAAACAAAGAATATATGTAGCGTCTTTTTTCTAGATCTGCGAGTCTTGAACATAGAACGGTATAGATTGTCTATTCTCTATTATATTGTAGCTTCTTTCTAAGCCTCGCATCTATCCGAAGAAATATTTTGTCGATTAAACTGATCAGTGATGGGATGACTAAGAACCGAATTCAGACGGCAGATCTGTCCTCGCTCGGGCATAAAATATCCTATGCTTTACATGAATACGGTTAGACAATACACCGCAAATCTGCTTGACAGTGTAGTTGAATTGAGTGGCCAAATAATTGACTACAAGGCGAATCTTCTCAGAGACCTCACTTTTTGCTTTTAAAAGGAAGACCCAAGAAAAGCGAGACACATCATCGGTAATGGTGGTGAAAAATCTATGGCCACCTACGCCTGCGATTGAAATTGGACCCCAAATGTCGGTATGAAGCTTCTGGCCAGGTGTGGTGTTGATGCGCTTATCCTTAGCAAATGGTAGGGAATAGCCTTTTCCTTGAATGCAGGGAGGGCAGGGTGTAATAATGCCAGTACCCTTTTGAATCTGAATACCATCGGCATATTCAGGCATGCGTTTGACCTTCTGCTCGCCTGCGTGGCAGGCTCTTTTATGAGCTAGATGCATTGGAATCGGCTTGATTTTCGAAGCTTTTGAATCCGCAGCGTTGACATCGGATTCCTGACTGACCAGATCTGATTCTTTCACAAGAGACAGCTCTACTGCAGATGCGCAGGGTGTATTACTCTAGCTATCTCCTGCGCTTGTATGGACCCAATATTGGCCGTTGATTTGATGCGCAGTAACAATCAGGTGTCCCCCCTTAATAAGGGAACCCTCATCTTGGCCGAATCGCGTTTCAATTTCCGAATCTTTGGCTAGTTGCCACGAGGAGATGAGATTCACATGGAATGATGGAATGCACCAAGCCTGCGTAGTAGGAGCTCCGTAGGACCCTCATCGGTGCTGAAATTAAGCACAACATCACCATATCCTTCAGTATGGACATGATGGCCATCGGGTAGGCTAATTTGGGTGATAAATGGCGTGAAACGAATGAAATTTGCGCGGTATGGAGTCATATGGTCCGTTGCGCCAGAGTAACCATCCACGCATATTGATCGTTCTCAGCCAATGCGGCTGCAACATGAACGGAAGAAGCGAAATAAATGGTAGCTACGGATGCACTGAGTTCCGCAAAGCTCGAAGATGCCTTTTTGGACGATTTTTCCTTTGCCTTATCCTTCGAGTCAGATTTCGAAGAATCGGCTTTCGCAGCAGCCGCATCTGGTCCGCCTTGGGAGGCGCCTTTTCCTTTGTTTTAGGATTATCCCAGCATTCATCACTGGTGTGACCAGTTGGGCGATTGTGGAAGGAACAAAAATGGGGTGCACCTCGTCCTCGGCCACGGCCACGGCCGCGGCCGCTTCCGCGACTGGACTCACTTTGGTCGTGCTGATCGGTAGAGTCTTTTCCTCTACCTCTTCCTCTGCCTTTAGTTGCGAATCTGGCAGGGCTGGACAATCTCAGGATGAGAGGAAGGACATGAGAGGAAGGACATGAGAGGAAGGACATGGGAGGACAGGACGTGGCCACGCCTACCACGTGTGCCACGCGCACAACGCGCACCACCTCAAAACTTGGGATGTACTGTAGCTTCTTCTTCTTTCTCTTTTTCCTCTCCAGCTCTTGAGATCCTTGATACCACGCAGACAAGTTTGAATGAAAAGTTCATGAGCCCTTCTAAAGCTTTTCCTAATTGGCGTACAACACCTTTTACAAGATTTGCAGAGGTTGCAGCTATGGCTGCATTTGCGTCCTTCTCCTTGGATTCCCACTCAAGAAATTTCCGGTAGATATGTTCAAGGTAGCTTTCGCGGTTAGAAGGCGGTTCATAGGTGTTGATGGAAACCTTAACGCTTTGCTTCCCTTGGACTGCAAGCTTAAACAAAGCTAGGGCTACTTTATAGCCTAGGGGATGATCAGGAATGGTGGCGTTGAGGTTTTCCAAAGCTGTCCGCCACTTATCGACGAACGCGTAGGGATCACCTCCGGTATATTTGATATCCAGAAGAGTCGAGAGTTGACTAGTGCAGGCTGTATGCGCAGAAGCACCATAGGCGTTGAAAAGCACCTTCATATAATCGTAGGCATTAGACCGGCCGGCTATGAAGCCTCTTCCAGTCTTACTGATAGTACAGTAGATGAGGTGGGTTACAAACTGGTGCCTCGCTTCAAGCCTTTCAAATTCCTTGTTAGGATCTTCGATATTCTTTTTGAGCCAAGCTCGAATATCTTCTGAAGTTGGGTCGAAGCCACCGCGTTGAGCTCTAATTTGCTCGCGAATAGCATCAATCTCTGGTGCTTCTCTAGGTGTTTGAATTGAGCATTTTTGGGCGCCTGTCATGATAGGCCATAGGTTCTTATTCAAGGTACGAGATGCATGTTCGATTCCTCCATTCCTTATAATTTTCCTTCCCTTTGAGGGTGGTAACTTGTTTTGATAGGTCATCGATCGCCTTGATCGCATCGAAATACTCCATTCCGGCTGGTTTTCAGGCGCTTTTTGCGCTCAAATTGACCGAATATGGTATGTTACATTTTGGTTGATGCTGATCGAAGGTGTTGATTGGATCGTGGACTTTTCGAAGGATCCTCTGCGGATCAGTGGCGTTGTGTAGCCAGTAGGGATTTTGTTGTTTTTGATTTTCGTGTGCGCGGGTGCGCAGGCGTCTTTGCGCCGAAAGGAGTGGCTTTGCGCCGGGGTTGCGTATGCAGCGTATTGAAGCGGTTATTTTGCAAGTTAGTGCCTAGGCAGTGAGAAAGTGTAAGAATCTCGCTTTTACGCGCCAGACAGGGCTCATAACCTGATGAGATACGGCTACGGTAGGGGCAGCAGTATCGATGTGTGAGAGGGATGAGGAGTGAGATTGCCGTGGGGGAGAGATTCTACCTAAGCCATGGACTGTGGTGAGTGGCAGAATCACATGCCATGCAAAACGTTGGCTTCGCCGTCGGTTATTTCCATGCTTCTTGAGTTAGAGAGCGACCTGACTTATGCGCAAGTTCCGTTTTCACCATAGATAATTCTGTAGAATGTATGAACTTCTAGGGCAGGGTCAAAAGGAATGGCCGCTTAATATGAGACATGATCGATTTTTATGTACGATTAGGCATGAGGAACACTCTGTTGAATGCCCCCATCAAATCCTTTGATCAAACTTGGCAACCTGTTGTCATGGGCGCTCCTCAACCACTGTAAATTTATTTAACCGTTGGAGATGCGGTGTTGTTGAAGCGGATTATGACCTGAGAATACTTTTCTGTGGCTGTAAGTTTCACATTTCCCTGCTCACTAACCCGTTAGAAGCCTATGGGAAATTTATTGGCGCTCAATTGATGTTACAGCAACAGCCTATGGCTAGCTATCGAACTCCTTATTTTATTCGTCTTCACGCTCAAGGAAAGTTTTAGTAGGAGCATTCAATCCTTTCTTAGGGCATAGCTATTTGTTCCGGCCTCCAATACATGATGAGCGCATTCTGTAACAGCACCACAAAGCACTGCACCTGCTTGGATATGTTCAGACAATTCATTACATTTTCGTGGGATTTGACAGATTCCTTGAGATATGTTTCTCCACCCTCCATTCTTTACAGGCCAGGCGCAGAATTATTGCTGCCGTTGGGTGAGGGGTAGAAACAAGTCCCTTGGAAAACGTAGAGACAGGCTGTAAATGCTGGTTCGCAACAATGGGCGATTATGAAATCCATCACCAACGTAATGTATCCGTCAAAAAGCTAATAACACGTCTGCTGCATTTGAACTAGAAGGATTTCCGTCTGTCAACTAGTGTATGGCG